CAATATTTCTTTACTTTTCATTTATTAGAATATATTGCATTTCCGCAGAAGAGAGTTTTCTTTTCATCATCGGAATTCTTATTTTTTTTAGTCAGATATCATTTCAGAAGACTGACTAGACAGAAGGAATTCCAAATATATTATGTAAAAAATATTAGTAATATAGTAATATCTGTAAATACTGATAAGTCGAAGAGCACGACGTGAAGAATAATGTATATTACTGAAAGTACAGGGATTAATATAGGGAACTTGAATCTTAAGTGAATGTTTGAAACAGTAGATAGAAAGAGATTAATAGAAAATTTATATCAATATAACTTTAGAGGTATTGTTTTAGAATCATTTAAATAATAAAACGCAGCAGATTCGTTTCAACGATAAATGGTCTGAATTAATTAACATTGAATATGGAGTGTCGCAAGGATTTGTATCAGAAATCTTGCCATTCCTTGTATATATAAATTATATAATAGAAATATTCTCTGAATGATGTAGTATAAAAATGTTTACGGATAATACATTAATTTATGTTATTGGAAAAAGTAGTATACAGTTAGAGACAGAAATGAATAAGACATTTAACACTATGACGTCCGGTGGCTCCACCTTGGTGCCATTCGGAAGTTATTGCTCAAGCACCAATGGCTGCATTGTGGAGAATTCAATTTAAATTCAAAATTGGAGGACGAAAGAATATTGCGTGTTCTGGAATTAACAGTAAATTACAGACGTAGCAACTTTGTGTTTTCATAAAAACCTGTATACTTCGACAATGGCAAACGAAAGAGAAGATACAATTATACGTGATGAGTGTGTAGACATCTTGTCTGATGTTCCATCCGAATTTCAAGATAGTGAGGAACTAAAAGACATTACATCTTCAGAAAAGGAAAATGAGGCAATCTTTTCGGATGAATCTGAAATATATAGACAGAGAATTCGGCGAACACTTAACGTTACCAAGTGATACAGAGGAATCAGACGAAGATGACAGTTCACAGTGGTCAGATTTTGATTTACCAAGAAACAATAAGGCTTTCAGAGGATCTGTTCCTAACGTATCTAATCTCAGAGATACAAACAATATCGAGGATGTCGTAGAACTATTTATAAGGAATGACTTGTTTGAATTTATTAGTACCGAAATGAACAGGTACTTAGATCAAAATTCCACCAAGAGGAATCCCGATAAAAAAGTGCAAAATTTTTCAATGTTACGGCAATCGAACTAAAAAAATGGTTTGTACTGATTATTCTCATGGGAATCGTTAAAAAACCAAGGATTGAAGATTATTGGGCAACAAATCCATTTTTGGAAACACCAATATTTGGTAAAACGATGTCCCGCAATAGATTTTGGCAAATATTATCGTTTTTACATTTCTCGGATAATAGTAAAATACCTGTCAATGTCGACCGACTGTTCAAAGTACAAGGTTTATTTTACAAAAAATTATTTTACAAAAAAATTTCAAGAAAACTTCAATCTTTGTCAAAATATTACAATAGATGAAGGAATGATATCGTGCCGTGGGCGATTGAGTTTTAAAATTTATAACCCCTCAAAAATTATAAAGTACGGTATACTTGTCCGGATGCTGTGTGATTCCGTTACGGGATATATTTCGCGTTACATAATATACTCTGGCGTTAAAAAACCTTTAAAGGATACAGTGATAAAACTATAGAAAAATGTTACTGGAAAATGGCATCATTCGTATATGAACAACTACTATAACAGTGTGGAACTTGCGGATGATTTGCTTACGAAAAAAATTCGCGTTTGCGGAACGCTGTGTAAAAATAGAGGATTACCGGCAAAGTTGAAAAACTGCAAACAAAATGTATTTGAAACCAAACATCAACGAAGAGAAGCAGTACTGGCGCAAGTATGGAAAGCAACGAAGACGAAAATAATAAGAACAATTTCTACCATACACAATGGTGGTTTAGTTAACACTGCAAAAAAATGCAGAAAAAGCAATAGTACGATTAAAAACTCGGCATCTATTTTGGATTATAATAAATATATGAAGGGTGTAGATCGAGCTGATCAATTTTTGAGCTATTATCCTATATACCGGAAAACTTTAAAATGATCAAAAAAGTGGCATTATACCTTATCAATTGCGCTTTACACAACGCGTTCGTACTGCAACAACATTATACAGATTCCAAGAAACTCCAATGTCATGATTTTTTATTGAAAATATGCGAATCTTGGATAAAAGATCATTCACCTGTTGGTGAAGAGAACTTGAAGGTCCCGAGTTCATGGCATGCTTCCAGTCGTGAATCAATCAACAGACTTTCTGTCCTCGTAATGGAACGCTGATATGTATTTCAGTAACCACCAACCGAAAACGCAGAAGGAGTCATGTGTGTTATAAAAACAAAAAAATTAAGTGAACTAATTTAATCTGTAAATCTTGTGGAGTTGCGCTTCACCTCGGAGATTGCTTTGCTTCGCTTCATTTGAAAAATAAATACTAAGTTTTTAACAAAATATAAATAAATAGATAAACATGTAATACAAAAAAATCTTGTACTTATTTACATATGTATACCCTCACAATTTCGAGAAAATCGCGAGACAGGATTGAAACATGGAAACTGACGATAAGATTAGTAAACAAGAACCTCGAAAAACCGCCGGTGATAAGCAAAATTATGTAAATCAGTTCCACCGGCGCGACACGAAAAAATCTAGTTTAGACGTACGGACGGGATAGTGTTAAAACAGTAGAAGAATGGAAGAATATATATAAATTGAGAATGAATGCAGAAAAGACGGAATATATGATAGGAGTGTAAGAAAAGAGCTGGATGGAAATATTGTATTGAAATGCTTTGATGGAACCGAGATACAACGTGTAGAGATAATGAAATACTTAGGAATAGATGGTAAGCTTAGGTTTAAAGGTCATTGCGATTGTATGTTAAAAAAGATAGGTAAGAAAGCTAGTTTTTTGAATGGAATAGGAAATTATACATCGGCATATACTAGATGTGTCACGTATAAAGCGATTATAGCACAGATCATAGTACGTGCAATGTTGTTAATGGATATGAGAGATACAGCCGAATAAATTACAAGTAATGCAAAATCGGGGAATGAGAGTATATTACAACATGTGTCTATGTATTTTCATGATCTTGAGAAATTTGTTAACTGAACAATTAAGAAAAAGAATAGAAATAGTGGGAAAAGGAAACGGAAAACACATACGACATACCAGAAACATTGTAATACAATTTCGCTGAAATAGGAGTGCGTGATAGAGTATGTTTTATGAAGGAGTTAAAATATATAATACCAGCCGATACAAAACAACGCTAAAGGCTCGACCAATTTAAAAAGATATTAAAGGACTATATTTTCTATAATTTCTAATGTAGTCTGAATTGTGTATTTCAAATAGTTGAGAGAGATTCTTCTACTAATAAGTCGATGTCTAAATTCTCCCTCGATTGTTTAATAGAACAGAACATCACACTGAAGTTCTAATCATCTAAAACTCTTTTACCTAAACTAGGCTTGTTTTTATGCATCGATCTTCTCACTAGGCTGTACAATTGATTATGTAGCCTCCACCATATCCATTATTTTCATACAAATATTGTGTTCCATGACAACTTGCTTATCATGCTATAGCTTACCCACAATGGATAACAACCAGTTTTTTGAAAACATCCATGAATTACTATTCTCCTGTTCGACGTCCACTTTCTTCTTTCCACTTATACGTTTTCTACAAGGGGTTAACTTCGTACCAGTTATACAGAACTTTGTTAAACCTAACCGTCAATTCCTGATACTCGTTGGTTGACAATTACAAATACTTGTTGATTTCCAAACTTTCATTGTTACATTGTACATTCCATTTATCAAGATGTTTGTTAAATTTACTAAATCCCATGACTGATCCAAGTATCATTCCTCATGTTGATTAGAATACTGCATTTACAGTATCCCCCTATCATGCTCAAAAATAGGAAATCATTAACAGTATAGAATTACATCTACTTATTAGTTTCCATGATTATTGTACTTGTAATTGTGACCAATACTTGTAATAATAAATATTTTAATTAGAAAAAAAGGTGTAGAATATATGTATATATAAAAATAAATGGAAAATATACGAATAAAATAGTATTCTGTTAGATTTTTCTTGTAGGCGGCTTTGAAATCTATTATTCACAGTTACATTTAATTATTCACATTTTCATATCATTACGATTATTTTGCGTTTACATACTACATAGATTTCTATTAATTTAATTGTCAAAAATTTTCAATGTTTCGAATGCTTATTAACATGCATAGTTTATTAGAAAATCGATTTCTTTTACTTATAAACATGATTGTAGTATAGCGAGGTCTAGATACGAAACTCATTGAAATGTAATCTAACATAATTTGCAAACATGTCCATCGATAATATGAATATATGATTGGTGAAAATCATTAAGCTAATTCTCATGAGTTTTTTTATAGTACTTTCTTTAGATCTAAGTTAATATTTTATGTATCTATTATAATGATTATTCAGTGTTAATAGATTATCCTTGTAGCTGTCAAATACTAATAACTTATATTTTTAAAGTAAATAGTATAATTAAAAAAAAGTTATATATAACATTTAGGTAAAGCGAAAAATTACATATACTTATTTCTTTTTAAATTATTTAAAAATATCAACGATTATTATATTATTAATTAATTATTTGTATATTTACTTGTAATTATATACAATGAAAATAAAGAAGACGAAGAAAGGAATAAAATATTCAAATATATCTGTTACAAAATGAAAAAAATATGAGAGAAAAATTTTGAAGGATGAATATTTTGAACAAGATTTTGGAGCCATTGGTTGTTAGTAACGATTGGCGGAATGAAAAAACAGATGTTTATATATTATCTTATATATGTAGATCCTATTCTATATATATATCTGATTCTAAATTATGTTAATGTTTTTAATAAATAGGGAATAATAGAAATTGGATGATATGGAAAGCAGTGATAGCGATAGCTCATAGAGGAACACAAGAAACCACTTTTCAACGCAATTTCTTTCAAGTCATGGGACTTTCTAGGTAAAACTAAGGTCGCTGAATCTCGTCACGGATGGAACATGCGAGTGTGGCGAAGAGGACACGATTTCGGATCACATCATCGAATGCTCGGTTTTCGAACCTCAGAAAGTTGCTCTGGAAGAAATATTCTGCGAAAAGAGCTGGCCAGAAGTAGCGAAACATCTTGTCTTCACGGCTGAGGCCTTTTCCCTCTTCGCGGTTTTGTAAAGAAACCATCTGTATTAAGGGTAATTAGTTCATAAATCCTGTTCAGCTGGGATTGTCGGAGTTCTGGTGATGAGGGTTGGTATTTGTAATTTTTCCAGGTTAACTCACTCTCGAACAGGATAGAGTCGGAGATACTCGCATGCGTTACCCTATTTTTTTTTCTTCTCACTACAATCCAATACTCTCTCTAATACCTGCTATCCTACCAATCCTATCCTGTCCTACGGAACGAGTGTCAAGGATCGTGGCACTGTGAGTGGGCCTTTCCGTGGTTTCCCGTGGGTACAGCCGGCATCAGCGTGGTGATTCGTTGTTGCGAGGATGTTGGTCGCTGCCAGGATGTGTCTAAACCGCTCACCTTATCTTGCCGGCAGGAGTTTTGGGTTTTTCCGAATCCGGTCACTTGGCTGTGGTGGCTGCTGCCTTTGGGTGGTTTCGTAGCGTATGTCGTAATGGGCGAGGTAGCATAGGTGCAGGCACCATATGTCTATTCACCTTTACACTATACTGTTCCATCATGGCTGCGATACGGGATGGACACGTTGCCGTGTGCGCCGCGTTTTGTGAAAATTTTTCCGGTTTCCTTTATTTTGCCTGTGAAAAAATTATCTCATCCGTTAATTAGAGATCGGTGAACAGAGTGAGATAATAATCAATACTAGGGATTGATTAATTTCTCTGTAATTAGTGTAGAATGTGCTCAGTAGTTTTGTAGAGGTTATGTTCGTTTTTGCATTTTATATTCTATGGACGAACGGTGGACTCAACTGATAATTTCTGTTGCAAGACGGAAGTGGATTTGCAACTAATTCACGCCATACTGTGATTGGCTGATGGATTGGACAACAATAATTTGTATTGGTAGCAATGCACATTATTTATTTTTCGACAGTTGGCGCACATGCGTCTCTCATAACCTCAAATCAAAAAAGCGCGGGAAACGTACGGAACTTCAGGCATGGCTCTACAGACCTTGTCGCCCGTGATAAGGGAAATAAAATTTTCCGATATTTTCAAAATTTCAAAAATTTTTAAAATTTTCAAAGTTTCGTCATAGGAACGTGACCGCGAAAATAGAGCCTTGATGAAACTCCTTCAAATAAATAGTGGAGTGCTTGCATGATCAAATAATTAATAATTAAAAAAAATATTTTTTTTTTCTCTAAGTCCTTATTTACTTAAAGTACCTTTACTGAAGTATTTTAATAATTTTCTCTTCTTTTCGAAGTCCTCTATTTACTTGAACTATTTTTACTAAAGTGCTTAAAATTTTTTTTTCCCGTAGTGAAATATTACTATTCATAAATACAAACTATTATATCAAAATCTTTTTTATGAGTCATTGTTATGAATTACTGATATCTTCCATTTGAATATAATATAGTTTTTATATAATACGAGTAATTTAACATAAATAACTAAATTCAAAAAGACTCGTTAATTTAGTAAGAGATATATAAAATTAAATTTTTTCAAAATTTTTCAAAACTTCTATGCGTAAAATAAGAAATACAAATAATAAATAATAATAAATACAAAATATATATATATATATTTTTGATATATTTATAGATGTATATAAAAATTTCATAAAATAAAGAGATTATCCGATCGCTTGTGAAAGTTAGTCAGTAATCCTGAACTTGTTCTGAGTAAAATACCTGGACTTTTGTCAAAAGAGTAATGTTGCTTTAGTCATAAAAATAAAACCTTCTGTCCCACATCTTTCTTAATCTAAGATGGGGAAGTTTTAGTTGATCTTCCGAGATTGAGCGAATGTGTATTAGTCAAAGTAAAGCTAGATAATATGTTCGAGACGAATTATCAATCTTGTTTAGAGTGATATTATCTAACTCAATAGAACTGTCAGTAAGATTGAAAGTTTCATCTTCCTTTTTCTTTTGGCATTATTTGTTGCATTCTTTTTTGCCTTTTTATATTTTATAAATAAATTCTACAATGCATTAAATATCATAAAAATTTTGAAGTTAATTTTTTAAATTAATGTAATTATTAGCTAAACAATTAACATTTTTTACTGATCGATCCCTCTTGAAAGTATTAGGTGGACCGGAAAGTAATGTCGTTTCTGCGAATGTCGATATTTGATTGTGATTAAAAATAAAAACGTGTTAAAAATTTATTTGTTTGAATTTAATTTAAGAAAGCAACATTACTTTCCGGTTCACCTAATACAAGTATTACAAAAGTACAAATGAAGCCTTCTTTCTGGCGCAATATTTACTATTTATATAAAAATTATATAAAAAAAATCTTAATCTTATTTATGTTAATATAATTACACTATACCAATTATAATGTATATTTAAAACACAATAACAATTTTGGATATAAAGCTAAAATCAAATTTGTTTAAAAGTAGATATATAAAAATGAAATTTAAAAATTACGTGATGTTGTGAAGAGTTAATTTTCAGAATTCTTTGTACTTATTCGTTTCGAACCTATGTGTTTATATTGAACTTAACAAATTGAACGTTCGTTAAAGACTGAGGATAGTCATTTAACATTTATATTAAGAATTTGACAAAATTATCGTATAAGCTAATACTAATTATTTATCAGTTATAATTTGTAAGGAATCACATTTTTAATTATAATAAGAATACTTATAAAAATTTATTTATATATTATAATATATGACATATCTTAAATTATTTATTTATTATGATAATAATTATTTCTACTTTATTTACATTCTTAAATAATATTCGATTATGTAATATAATATGTGACATCTTAAATTATTTATTTATTAGGAGAATAATTACTTTGTTTAATTATTTATATTCTTTTGTATCATTATATTTAAATTAAATATTTATATATATATATATATATACTATAAATTTCATGAAATATCAAAAAATCAATAAATTTTTCCTTTTAGTAATTTTTTTATTAAAAATAAGATAAAAACATATATTTTTTTCATCAAAAATTAATAAATTTTTCTTTTAATGATTTTTTTATTAAATAAAAATTAAATATTTATCATTGTATTAAAAATTCTTAATAATTCTTATTTTTATATATTATATTATAATAAATATATATATAATATAATCAAATCATATATATATGATTGAGACTATGTTGTCTACCATAAATAATTTTTTCAAAATATCTCGCAAACTAATTATTTTTCGACATTGTAGTTTAATACTTTTTTATTCAGAATGGCAAGAGAGATCAATTTATACAAACTAATTGTAGATTTAATAAAATATTTATGATCTTGAAATTTCTTAATAAAATTAAACCTTTAGAAAAAATTCTTTCCATCATAATAGGTGTCCTTTGAAAGGTGACTTTGTTCTGAACATTTTTTCCATACATTCATAAATAGTGGAAATATTTACTTGTTTTCATTTAAAAGTTATTCTCTGTATAAACATATATGTGTGTAAATATGTAAGGTAACGAGGAATAAGGGAAAAAAGAAATATTCAAGCACAAGTTAGAACAATAGACTTGAGCAAATAAATAAAAACATTTTGTAAGGTTATTAGTTCTTTGTTCTGCTATATGTATAATACAAAGAGAGATTTTAAAGTAGATGGAAATAAACAGAGAAAAGAAAATAATGTCAAGACTTATTTACTACATATATTTTTGAAAGGTTGTTCTAAGATCTGTTGACGAATGTGAAATATCAAGAAGAGCTAGTTTTGTATATACGATGAATACTGTAAGTTAAATTTTGTTATTTGAAAATTATATTCTGCTTTTCTTGTTCTTATCTATAAGTTTCTACTTTAAGCATTTACTTAAATATTAATTTAGGAAAACAATTACTTTCCCTTTCTTCCTCTTCCCCCCCTCTCTCTCCCCCTATCAGTAAGACAATTAATGATCGAGACAAATATATATATTGGGTTGGCAACCAAGTGATTGCCGGATTTCAAATAAGAAGGAAACGACAAAATCCGCAATCACTTAGTTGCCAACCCAATATATATATACATAATGAAGATTTATTGTAAAAACCTTCACTGTCAATTAGTTTTTTATACCATTATTTATTCAAAATTATTTCTTCGCCGCAAATTTCTTCTTTCTAAACACTGACCGAACATTTCCAATGATTCTTGATTTCTAACGCTTCATGATATTTCATTTTAATTATAAATTCTATATTATTGGAGATTTATAGATAACAATGAATAGATAGAGATAAATATTGTTTTTTTTTTAATATTTATGGAACGGATTCAAATTTATTGCACAGATTTATTTATTATTTGATTCATTGTATTTGCGTATTTATTTATTATCGTAAGATTGAGAACATGATTGAGAACATCTTTTCCGCTGTTGCCAGATGAATTCCACTAAAAGTACAAGTCTCTACCGGTTTCCCTACCATTGCACTCCTTTTGGATTCGCGTGCGCCAACAGCTTTTCACGGGGCTTTATCGTCCTTCTATTTACAGGTAATTAACTTTTTTTTTCAAAGTTATAATTCCGTCCTATATATTAATCGGTGGCAAAAATGCAATTTCTATAGTGTAATGTTGGCAAATTTGGAAAATGTTGCGTTTAAAAGATATTCGCGAAAATGAAATTGCCATCGAGATCGTGAAATTATTACATCATACTTTCTGTTGAATTTTCTTATATCTTTTTTGATGATGATATATAAAAAAGGTCTCATAATAATCAATGCTAGAGAAAAATATAATATATAAGTGTATATTTTCATTAATTATTACATTAAAAAAAATAATCGACGAATGTATATATATTTTTTTACTTTATATTCATTTGTCATCTAGAAAAATTGTACTGCTGCCTTTGTCCCATATAGAATAGGTTATTCCAAAACTCGCATCAAGTAGGAGAAATAACTATAAGAGATTGGGTAGTAATATCTTATTAAATTATCAAATAAGCAAAAGTAAATAAATTTATTAATTTTTTTTTTTTTTTGATAAAATCAAAAAAGGTACCAACGGAATCATTAGCTTCATAACTATGATTCATGAATTACGAATTTAGACGCTTACTAATATGCTACACATTACTTGTAAAATCTCTTCATTTTTAGTTTATAAAATAAAAAACGAACTACAATTTTTTCTTAAATTTAATAATATCTCTGGAAATCAGTAATGGTGATATGAGCTTTTTCTTTTTTGCCACAGATTTCGAGGGTACGAAATTTCTCTTCGTGAAAAATATGAAAAAAAAGCATTTATACCAATAATGAGAACAAGAGTAATTTTTAATCGATTTTTATGAACGCGATCTTATTTTAAGGAGGAAGGTTTTATCTATGACCCCGATTTTTTGAATATTCGAAAAAGCTTTATATTTATGCATAAAGCTCTTTTATTTTACGTTATAATACATAGTTTTATTAAATTCTAGAAGTATTTGCCATGAATAATTTTTAATACATAATATAATACGAATAGACAACCTCACAGGTACAGTGTCTTTTTTTACTAGTTTTCGTATGTAACTGAAGGTATGTTACGTGTATCTATTAAAAATTTGCGAATAAATTCTGGTATAAGAATATTTATTATTCTATTTTAGTTAGTATGCTTTTTTTTTTTTAGGAAATTTGTCTTCATACATGAATTTATGAATGATTGTGCCGTGGGATAGGATTAAATAATTTTTGTTGCAAAATAATAGGATACCTACTTTGGAAAATACTTAGCTTTTTGTTACGTAGATAAATAATATTATTTATTATAAATAATATTATTAATAATAAATTAATTATTAATTTATTGATAATTGTGATTTATTATAAGCTATGTACTTTTATTTTAAAATCATTACCACTATAAACGTTATTAATATTTTCTCGGCCAAGGATAGGCTATTGGCAGTTTGAGATATGGCTCTATATACACTTATTTGTTGAGTTAAGATGGAAAAAGATGTCCTCCATTATTGGATCTCAGTAATGGGGATATGAACTTTTTCTTTTTTGCAGGTGTTACTGTATGAAACTTTTTCGTCGCGAAAAATATGAAAAACAGTATTGAGATCAATAATGAAAACAGGCATAATTTTTAAGCATTGTTGTGATGAACGTGAAGCATGGAATTATTACTAGTAAATTTATATGGTGGAGGAATGAATTGATTGACACGGTTGTTGATCATGCAGCTAATGGAGGAGAAGTTGTTCTGTTTTAGGTAATAATTAATATTAATAAGTTAATAAATTGTAGGTAATAGTTAATGTTTATTAAATCTTTTTTGTAATATTTTTGTTTATTTCATTGTTACTTTATATTAGTAAAAACTCAAGTAACCTCTTATTATCTGTCTATGGTTTTTAATGATTCTTTTTTATTGATACTAATGATATTGTTTGTATTTTATTTCAGATTATTATTGCACAATTTGTGGAGTCATGCATGGATAAATCAATCTTTGTTTCGATAAAATAAAAGAACTGAAATCGATTTAGAGTTTTATTGTTAATTTGCATTCGTTTGTATTTTGTGATT